AGGAATTGGAACTGAAAGCGGCAACGGTTTGGCAATAAGGTCTGCCGAGGTGTGGGGAGGAGGGAAGAGCACAAGGGAAGGATGAAGAGGCGTGGCTGAGTGCAGTTGGAGAGGCGTGCGTTCAGACAGTGGGAGGGACAGTGATGCAGTGATGCAGTGGGAGATGTGGATGGGCAGAGGGTGACGTGAAGGTGTGAGAGGAAGGCGGTTGTGTAGGTGGGTGCAGAGGGGGAGGGTGGGGAGTGGGAGGAGATGAGGGATGGGACGGCGGAGTAGGTAAGGCGAGAAGAAGGGGAAGCGGCGGTGATGTGAATGTGAGGAAGGCAGTAATATAGTGGGAGATGGTGTTTGGAGGTGGTGTGGGTGGAGGAGCACGTGCCTTCAGTGGAAGTTGTAGGTGGTGCAAAGGTGGTTGTGTTCGTAGTTTGACCTCATTTGGTACACGCTGTAAACATAAGCATTGACAGCTCAGTTGACCTCTGCTAGGAGTATTTGGACTACTGGCGTAACATGCACTCGCCTGATGGTGGCAAAAATATCCACCTGGCACAAAGAAAGTGCAAAATTTTTCTAATATCACTAAAATCCACCTTAAATTCTACCCTTTTACCGTTTACCTAGTTTTTTTTGTGACTAAGCCTTCATGCTAAAGGATTTAGTTGAGGCCACCTTATAATTGTTTCAAGCATAATTTCACCCATTTTGTGTAGAAAACTCTTCTTGGCATTGACAATGAGACACTGGAGTATTCGCCACCGGAGCCACGAGGGGCGATCTGGTGTTTTGCCTAAAACTTTTGCCACCCTCGTCATCGCATTTGCAGCAGAGGATGGCGGACCTAATTTCAGCAAACATTCACCTTTATTTCTACTGTTAGATAAAATGCATATAATTGGACTATTATTACGAGGTAAACATATGGAAGAATTGTTTTAATATGACGTCATCCGTAGTTCGTAGGGCCACTTTTAACAGACGAAGCGACTCTTGTCGTAAATTATCTCTTCGACAGTGCCAATTGTGTAAACATAAGACGCCTCGCCATCTGTTTGCTTACTGTATAACAACCAACTATATATGGTTAGGTGACGATGAAATAAACACTAAATGACGACGATGAGAATGCGGAAAACCGGATCAAAATCCTATTATGCGAAGTATATCTCAGCTTTCGGCAAAATGGTTGCGAGATTAGCATGAACACTGTGTACAGCCAGTGCATTTTCCACTCCAACACTCCGGTTGTATGGAAAACACATTCCAAAGCGTAACCTTCAGAGATATTTTGATTGGTATGAGAAATAATGAGGCTTGATTTTGGCATAGTATGGCAGAAGCAAAATGAACATAAAAGTGGCCGCCCTCATGCAGGCAGTCGAAAAATTAGGCATAATATGCAGTCAACAGAGTTACTTTGAAGAATTAATGCATATGAGACTTGGATTCTGTATGGATGTGCAAAAAATTTGGGAATGATTTCATGCCTAAACGGGTATGTAAAAGTGCCTGCGAATGACTTAAAAAGGGAATAAAGCGAAAAGTTAGATTTGGATATCGGGGTATCGGGTGTGTTACGCTCTTACTGTTAGACTTCTTTTTGTTTTTTACTAGGGAATACTTTGCTTGCGTAACCGCCAGACACCTGGTGGTTGATTTGTTTCGCGAATTAACATGTACGCGGGCGCTAGCTCTCAGGCCAAGCCAGGATCAAGTGTATTCTCGTTTTTAAGGAATTCCTGTGTTCAACCAGATTAAAAGCCGACTTCGACCCAGTGAGAGGTCTCGGAACGTTGCAAATGTGATAGTTTAGCTCTGCAAACACATTATGGAAGTGAATGTCCAGTTTTGCGTTTACAACCTCACATAGAAATAATGCAAAAATAAATTTCAAAGCTCTGCCGGAGAATACATAACAAACTTTTATGCTTTGATTAGTTTTACCCTAACCTTATATGTCGTTTTAATTAGGCACTGGTAGATTTTTATGCAATGGTACCTAGGCAGTTAATAACCCATTAATTTGAGACGGATCTTTAGTTCTCTGAGGCGGATTTAACCATTCAAATATTTATGATTAATGGTCGCATTCCTTTTCATTCCCTCAATTTTAAAATGGTGAAGCAGGATGCAGTCAAAATTAAAATTAATATTTTATTCCCATATTTCACTTCTCCTACCATCGGTTATTGGCAGACCCTTACAAATACTCATTTGGCAGAGAATTTACGCTGGAAATGAATTTGTGCAGCTTTACGTAATTTTATTTACGACGACTATAACATAATTGTTTTGGGGAATATAAAGAGTTTTTATAATTTCCTCAGGGAATGATTTTACCGACTGTTCAAATGAAAACGTAAATGCTTCCTCCTGCAAACTAAATGATTGATTTTATAGAGTAAAGTAGTTGGTATGATTTTTAAGTGCTAAGACGGATTTTTCATGTCAGATTTTGCTGTTTTAATGTATTGGTGCAAGCATATTGCTCCGTCCCCATTGTGCCTGGAAATACTGCACAATCCTATGTTGTTGACCACCAGAAGTCATTTTTGCGTGTTTAGAAAGTTGTCAAATCCAGTTTAGATTTGTTCTTTGTTCAAATTAACTCTAAGGAGGCATTACCCATTATTTTAGGGATGGAGACTAAAGCCAACTTGCTCTGAATTGAAAGGATTTAAAGAATTGAGACAAATATCTTAGGCAGGCGATATGACTTGGCCTACCTCTGTGCACTGCATTAAGAGGTGATAGTTTTGTATTTTGGAAAGTCATAGAATACCTGATCTTAATGTTACTTGGTTAAGCAGCAGAAAATATAACTGACTGGCAAGCATTTGATGGGATTCAGGGTTATTGCTGCAAACATTTATTTAGCGAGTAAGTTTGCCATTGGTTTTCTCCGATTTCTTGATACAACACACTTCCTTGGTGTCCATCCCGAGAATGTACATCCTCCTTTGGTTGTTATACTACTAGATTGCTTGACAATGGGCGATAGTAGTAGCCCTCTATGCTCATTCACTCTTCAGTATTACATAGTCTGGCTAAGGTACTGCACCACTTTATAAAATTGCAGACGCACATAGGATTCTTTTACAACCTTTTTGCAATTGTTATTAACCGACTAAGTCATTCACCTTTATCATCATCTTCATAATCAACCTGCTGAACCCTGCCTTGTATATCTAGTAAGTCTAACGTAAACAGTGACCAAGGGTGACGCGCGGTTACACTCTGTTTACGTGAAACAATTATTCATGAGTTCGTAGTTTTGTAATTCCAAAATTCGGTAATAGATTATTTGGGCATTTCATGACTGTACTTCCACAGGACGGCTGGGTCCTAGGGCACACATTTAGTACAAATTCATTCTGTACGCTAACGACTCCTATATTTCTCGAATATTGTTTTTTTTAATTGTTAATGAACGCATGATTACGCTTGATGATACGCTTGATACGCATGATACGCATGATACGCTTGCTTATTTTTTAATCTGTGATGATGACAAAAGTCCGCCCAATGTTACTTAAGCATGATTATAGTGGGCGCTATATGTACCTCATTGTAGATTGTGTTATGTTGATGCCGTTTCGTAGCACTGCTTCTATGCACCTTTGTTTTAAAAAACCAAGGGTCTAACACAATTTTATGCCACTATCGTTAATTTGCACATATTTGTATCCATTTTATTACTTCAACAAAAAACACTTCTTACTTGTAATGCTTGCATATGCGACTACCTGGCGCTCAGGTCCCATTTGTCCTGTCGTCTTCGGAAAACATGAATTCAACCTCACTTATGCCTTCTTTCGCCCTATGGGAAGCCTCTGGACGTTACAATACTAAACAAATTTGTTACATACGGAGAATTGCAGCCGTAGAGAACTAAGGACGAGTCAATACTTTACACTAATAAAAATTTCACTCCTGATTGTTCCCGTGCATGTAATCTGTTGGCGAAGAAATGAGAGACAAAAAAGGCATGCCATATATTTGTGTTTTAAAATAAGAGCAAACTCCTGACAGTCATTGCCACATCACAGTTTGGTGTTACAGCATGAAGGTTGTGGGTCATCTTAGAGGGCAGTTTACAATTAAACAAGTCTAAATCGCACTCTTGCATTTTATTTCGCGTTCCGCGTTAAAATTTAAGCCATAGTCTTGCATATTTTCTTTTGGCAAGAAGGATATTCAAGCTATATATCGAAATGTTGATTCTTATGCAAAATGGCCTTTGCAAACAAAAGATTGACTGGTAGCATTAAAGCAAGAACAGTTGATCAGTTTCCTAACTTCCTCCACCATTTAGCTAAAAAGTGTTGGAGTGATGCTCCGAACCAATCACCCTGCGCGCTTTAAGGCGCTTTTTGGATAACATTATTATAAATTATTGAAACAAAGCAAACTAGACAACTATTAATGGGCATCTAAATGTAATTTGACTTTTCATGTTGTTTTACTTAGTAGACCTGTCATTACTTAGCTTGCAAGTGCTACAAATTAATTGGTTCAAAGCTTAGCCAATTATGAGTCCACCGGTTTTGGTGTCGTGTGCACAATAGCGTACGGTCTGTTGTCGTTTCTCGAGTTAACTCTTCCTGATCGATGCTTAAAAGGGTGTAAATTTTATTTGATTTCGTCCCTTTTCATCTTTGATTGCAGTCTTACATCACTTTCTCCTATAACTCATGTAATTAGACAAATTTATTCCGCCGTTTTTATTTACCACATGTTTTGACTACACTAGCTTGTCATTTCCAGTCCTTTTGAGATCTAACTAAAATCTGCACTTCGTGGCACTCTGAGATTTCTTTGCTTGCATTACTTTGGTCACATGATCTGAATTTGCGTTGCACGATCGGTGTCCACTCTGATATATAAGGGTTTGTACACGTCTGGTCTTTTTCCTTTGGCACTTGTTATGCACGACTTTTATCACTGCTTTTAATTTCTTGTAGATCGATTTATTTCGTAGTCTTAATCATGCATTGGTAAGCATGAGAACAGCTATGAAGGAAATAGGTAAAGTAACGATACATTTTAATCTTATGTTACTAGATAACGATTCACCGAAAGCTCATCCCCTAAATAATCGCGCGAAATGCATTTCCATATCTGCGAATCACTACACCCATGTGCGTGATTGTGTTTTCTAATTTAACGTTTTTAAATTAGGAAAATGGCTTTGCGCCTTCACGTGAGAAGATTCGAAAAATTGTTGATGAATACCCGGGAGACGGGACTGATGATTCGGTCGTTTCAGTCAATGAAATCTACCAATTTGGTATTGAGGACAAAGAGAACAACGAAGTCTATCTTCTAGACTTTGTAGATAGCTTGAAAGTTTCCTATTCCGTAAAGGTGTCTGATGTGACCCAGGATAGCCTAGAGAAACTTCCCCCTCTCTTACACGATCGACTATTTGCCGATTACCTCTCTTGTACAGCGTCTGATATCCTCTGTAAAATCTCGACAACTCTTGATGCGTGGATGGATGAGGTTGAAGAAGCCAAGTTCATTTCGCGTCACCTTGCAGCTTTCGATGAGTTAATTGTCCTTCGGAAGCAAGTTTTTACTCTCCTAAAACTCTTCGTTCCTAATCCTGATGTTAAGGAGGGTTTTGATTGTACAACTGCTGATTTGGATCGTTACCTCCTGCGGATTATTCAGGATCTTACTACTAATAATAGAAGTCTTGGAGGCGAAGCGTCCACAGGATCCCCTGTTGTTTCGGTTTGCACCGAACCGGAGCATTGTGTCCATATATTGCGGCAAAGGGTTCTTACGCTGCTGCAGACCCTCCTGCCTAACCTCCTCCTACCCGAATCTTTCGATCTGAAACGTGATTTGCAGGATTTGATCAATGCAATATACTCGTACAACATGCCCAAATTTTAAGTTCCGTGTCCGAAGAGAACCTCTCTCTGCCCTACAACCTGCGCATTTTTGTAATATCTATGTACACATTGACAACGCTTTTTACGCCTTCAATTGGAGTCTTTTATTTGTACTTATTTTAAGAGTAAATAAGTATTTTATTGATCTCTGCCTTAAGACGCGTCTGTTTCTTATTTTCGGGCGCTTAGACTTTGGGTAGCATCAAAGTGGGATAAATAGAGCCACTTCGTTTGTCATTTACGGCAGGCCCATAAAACATGCTAGCATTTGTAGCTCATGTCTTGCTGCCAGAAATGGAGGCAGAAACTACGTCGATTGCAGAGATTTTACTCCGTTCCTCATGCCTATTCATTTTGTCTTACGTGACCCTCAAATTCTCTATCTGGATACTTTTGTATCAGAATAACTTAGGGTTGAGCAACTGGCTGTGTACTTTCCTATCCTCCTCAAACCTATTTTACCTTCCAGCCATGAACTGGGACACTCTTAAATTGATTGAATGAGAATGTTACGTGTCTAAAACGAGAGAGGTGTGACAAGGTGTACAGGTTTTTTTTGAGGCCTCCCAATAGTTGATTTTACCCATAGATCCATTTTCATAAAAGCGTTTCAAATCTTTATCGGGTATTTACGAGTAGGTTGACTTGTCGACTTTCTTTGCCGTGTTTCGATACCTTTTTTGCATACTTAACCGTCGTGCCAGTAGCCTTTGCTACTGATACGCAATAAGTAGCGGCCACGGATCCATTCATAAAATCAGTACACATTATTCCTTACCAATCTAATACTGGGTTACTTGTATGTTATCTTAGCACTCTATCAGCATCCCTCGCAAATCTTGAATGAGACGATTTAGTGCGTTTTACACAGCCACCCGTAAACACAGTATTCACGATGGCAGAGATGTTGTGCGTGTTACTGTGCAATCGCCTCAGTTTGTGCCTCTTGTCATCCAGAACTTTTGCACACCGACAGTAACTCCGCCACACAAGCAAGGCCTCACACAGCCTGAGGCAATCCTGGAAGCCAATGCAGCGAAGCAATTACTAATTTTCAATAAGTGCCTCCACACTACTTCAATTGTTCGTGTGGATTTTGTATCGAAAAATGACGCTTAACAAAACTCCGAAATTACAGACATATTTCTGTTGGTCTACTGATACCATTCAGTAGAACCGGCTGGATTTCACCTTTTTAAAATTCACACTTTTGTTTTCTCACATTTTTTACTTCATCTTGAGAATCCGTTATGCACACTATTACCCTCAACTAATAATGCTTTGCGTAGTAAGAACTGTGCCCTATCAACTTGTTGAAAAGTAAGGTCAGGGTGATGCTAAAACCACTACCCCCCCCCCCTCCCCCAGAATTTACGACCAAGAAAGATTAAGTCCGGCAAACCTTTGTAAAGTGCTCTTGCTCAATATCGAAACAGCCAATTCTCGCTCCTACCGAGTATTTTGATGGTAATAAAGAAAAAGAAGACTTACATACCTTGTAGAGTGTTCATCAAGGTGTGCGTGGGGTCGCAGCGATACCTTCACCCTCTCCTCGCATTTTGAGCTTCAAGGTTGCCGTGGTGTAGTGCTTACTTTTGCATGAATTGGTTAGACGGCTGGTGGTATGGAGCCCACATGCCAAAGAGTGTCTTATTTTCTATCGACGAACTTAGCACATTTTATTAAACTCAAATTAGCAAATGATCTCACTAGTAATATGAGCTTTAATAAGTGAACAACTCCTGATAAAAACACACACATACGTGAGATACGAAGAGCAGGATGTGGTATGTCCTCACTGTGCTGTATGAGTAGTAAGTGACACGACTGTGGCAGACGGGTGACTACAATAAGACTGTGTGAGGCAATCCTCAAGCGGCCTCCCTCCCTCCTTCCAATTCGTCCAGCAAGCACTATCAAAGTAATGCAATTCCATGAGTAGTAAGTGATTATGCATTTAGAGCGAATCCTTGCATCCTGCTGCACAACAGACGAGTAGATTCCCATTGCTGGATCGCTACCGACACAACTTCTTAGTTAATAGAGCCATCAAGCCCCTGCTTGCTTACAGCTTAGATTGAGAACCTCGTGTAATTAAACTTATCTACGATATTATGGACCAATAATGAGTTGTAAATGTAACCGAGGGAGGAGAAGGAGAGATTATGAGCGAATGAAGAGCAATAAATTACCTAAAGAAAGTTCGTCAAAGAGATGTCCACCGCCCCCGCATAAACACTTGACTTCTCCTCCACCTCATAGCCGGCTGAATAGCATCGAATGACAAAATAAATGCACAACGCAACCACATACCTCGACCCTCTCGGCAGTGCTCATACAATCGCACACTCCATCCACTAATACAGCTCGCTCACACTGCTAGATTCCAAAACTAGTAGCAACGTCAAAAAGGTATATGCAAAGCGACGAAACCCTTTTCGGAATCGCAAACTTAAACACAACGGGAGGTTAAATTTAATTATTAAACTTATGTTAGTCAGATCCGCTTGTACCATGTCAAGGTATCAAAAAAATATATTCTCTAATCAAAAAATAGCTCGATTGTAACAATTAAAAAGGGCGAGAGTGAAGTGATATGAAACGTATCGTCAGTCCACGATGGGGGTTACAAGCTGAAACAGATAAGTACATTTAAAGATGCACATTTGTACATAATTCATCGGACCTATTCCCTTTCTATCGTCACTGGATAGCAGTCACACGCTATTTGACAGAGAAGACGCAGAGTCGACGCCTTTTCACTAAAAAAAAAACAAATTACGGACAACCAAACGTGGACTACTGAAATGCATTTAAGTAGTAGCTGGAGACGCACGTAGGCTGTTCAGCGATTAGGCGTAACCAGTGTGGAAGTCTGCTTTCAATGTAATCCAGACATTGAAGGCGCCTTTGAAGGTGAAGGATGTCACTCCAAAGACCCACCATTTGTTGAAAATCACGATATACTTCAGGATGATTTGAAAATACCGCCGGTCCGAGGGTTAATCGGAATGCACGAGAGGGAATCTCGATCGGTGGATCAGTATAAGAAGGGACTTTTTGACCTTTAGTTGAGAAATGAAAAAAACCACATCTCTGACAGGAGTGCTAGAAGCAGTCAAACAAAGATACGCCTAAGCGATGGCGCTAAACTTGGCTTGAAGACTTCACACTTATCGAAACAAATTCAACAGGAGAATAAGTCAGCAACGCCAAAATATCTACGAAGAATCGTCAATGCTCGAAATCAAAGCGGAGACTACCTGAACAGACGTAGGCTCTCCATATGGTTTCCATCGATGGAGCGAAATCCTTCTGTTTAGGTGGGTTCGCAATTTTAACGGCAGTGTTTTCATCGCCTAGAAGAATCGGTTTGAAATGCATAGCAATGTTGAAGAGAGCAACAAAGTTTTCCAGCATTTGATTTCGCCACTGATGTTGTCCCGGTGTGGCCACACTCCAATCTGAAAACGAGTGACAGTAATTGACAGAACAGTCGCCAAAATACCAGCCAAGATATGAGTGCATCAAAGTTCGACGAGAATCGTAGTTAGAAACACTAAGGAAAAGAAGTCTTGATGGTAAGTGTCATCTATGCTGCCACCATTACGATACTCTGTTTCGTAATACCATCACGACAACTTTGCATATGAAGTTGTTTTGAGCACAAAATCCGTTTAAACGCACTTACCAATAACGTCCAATACCTCGAAAAATTGGCCCATCAATTCAACCAATTTTGGTAAATTTTCCTCGAAATAACGACGAGGAAGCAGGGTATTTGGAGACTTAAAACTTAAGTAGAACACACAAACACAAATACCATCTTACAAGGCTATTGCAATAAGAAAGGAAATCTTCGCGAGCTGTTGTGTCCTTAGTGCTTAAAAGCGCTTCCTTAGAAAACCTTTCCACAGACTTTGACAGAGCGACCACATCATTAATGCGCTCAATTGTATTTGAGTTCAACTCCCAGCAATCTGTATGCTCTTGACCAGTCACTTTTTGAGATTTAATTCGCTCACTAAAACAATTGTAAGCTAAATGATAACCTACGGGAAGGGATCAAAAGATACAACCGCATTTGCTGATTCTGTGGAATTTCGTATAAGATTGTCTGTTCCTACAAGAGACGGTTGAGGGGTGTCAGCAGAAGAGGCAAGCCATGATTTCGCCCTTTTTCGAAGCAAATCAACATCAGATGACCTGCACAATCGTACAATTAGATTACTCACGTTCGATCACCGCGAGGTCGGTGTTTTGTGGTTGTAGGGTTGCGATTTTTGCTGCCAGACGCAATGGCACGGCTTACGACTTGCTTTTGGGGCTTGGATTTACCTTTTTCAGTCACAGTAGACGTTTTGGAGACTCTTTTACCCACACAAGAAGCATCGACTGGCCGTTTTGGAGGTTTGCTTGATTTTTCGGCCCTTAGCTCAGAATTTTCAAGTGCAAGTCTTGCCTTTGACAAAGCGTTCTCGATCTCCCGGACAAGACTCTCAGGTACTTCCTCTTCCACCTCAACTTTATCATCTTCCTTTTCAACTTTAACAAAGCTAAATTTCAATGGCCAAGACAGTGAATCTACCTTCTTTTATAGCTGCTTTGAATATCCCGACAAAGACCTTCAATCTTTTGTTCTTCAATGCAGAGTGACCTCAAGATTCTAGCAAAGTATATAACATCCTTGGCGAGATCCTCCATGATGGGAAAAATTAGAGGAGAACGCAAGGCACATCCACCCACATAGGGCGGACTTGTGACACAAGGTCAAATGATCTTTTTGCTATTAGGCGACGGTTTGCTGTAGTTAACGAAAAATATGCTGCGTAAACTCAGGCCTACAATCAGCAGGATTCGACAAAGCGTATGGACCAACGCACGCTAAATTCACATTTTCGGACATTTAAAGACATTGACATTTTGGCACAGTGTGCTGCAAGTGATTGAGTTCTACGACGTACAAGCCTATGTTTAAGATGGTTTCTTCTTTTTCAACCCCCCTTTTGAAAAGTTTTATACCAATTTTTATAAAATGAAGTCTGACCCCAATTTTAAGAAGTGCTAATTGACTCCTCATTTTCCTCCCCATTTTAATAATCTTTTAATCTTTATATTTTTAGCCGCATAAAATAATTAAATCTTCTAGTTATAATTAATCGTAAAGGCCATGCACCACGCACGACTTGGTATGGTCGTCTTTTACCGCTTTCTGCCTCTGGATCCCCTTCCAGCGCTCATTTCTTTTCAAATTCTTATTCGGGGCTTCTCTTTTCTTGCTGTCGAATAAATGTGTTTAGGTAGTTTATTGAGTTTTCAGTTATATGCAATTTTTGGTCTCTTTAGCCAATGGATAGCCGGCCGCCGTCGTCATTACCCTCTCTTACTTTGGCCAGTGATACTGTGAGTGGCAACGTTGGCGGATTTACTGTAAGGCCTCCCGATAAATTCAACTTTGATCTCTCTGACCTCATCGACGATTTGATTGCCCTAGCCTACACAGATTCGGGTAGGTTTATATCTGCATTTTTGGTGGTAGCAGCATCTTTCATCCCCAAGTACATCCCAAAGCTGTTATGTGTCTGCAGCGTAACAATTTGTCCAGCGGTCATGTAGGCGAAGAATGGTAGTGTGCAGATGTTTAGCCCCCCAAGTGCTCAGATGGATGGTTGAGGAAGGCGCCAAAGGATTGCGTAATGATGCTCATCAACGGAATTGTCGGCTTTTCTTTTGGTTATGAGGTGCCTTTTTGTGCGCGAAGAGCTTGTTTAAAATGAAGAAACACTATTCCCAGGTCAGCAGGTCGCGGGTTTTTCACTTTT